AGGTGGGAACAACAGAAGCAAAGGCTCGGAGGTGTGGCCGGCACAGGGAAGCATAAACAGTTTGGAGAGGCATGGCTGGGGTTGATATGCTGGGGAAAAGGGGTCGGGTCTGACTGCTACCGAGTCCTGGCCTGATCTGAGGCACTGAGGATTTTTAAGCAGAGAGAGAATAGGATTGGAACTCGTTTCATCTCTGCAGAGGGCCTGGCTGGTGGCTGAACTGGGAGTCAGGATGGGACTTCCCCTCAGGTCTCCTCTGAGCTGGCTTCGGGGACACCCCCCCCTCAGATCCCTTGCTACTCACCCACGGGTCAGAATTGCCCCCAAGGGCTTCTTCCTCGGCCATTGCTAAGATTCAGGGAGCTAATGTGGGCCTCTCCCGACGCTAATCATCTCAGCCTATAAATAGGACTCAGGATTAGTCTGAAATAGCTGTGCCAAGCCAACTCCACAGGCATCACGGGCACGCACAGTTCCGGAAACGGTTCCTTTCCTCAACACAATTAAAACTCAACACTTCCTCAGGAAACTACTGTTCACACTTTGCTTTGCTTCCTTAAGCACAAGGCAGTCGATTTTGGGGGAAGAAACTGCCTGCCTACTGCTGATCAGTGGGGGTGTGCCTTGTGGAAAGGAGGCCCCTTTCCTGCTTCTCCCCCTCTGAGGACCCTGGAGGAGCCACTACCACTCTCTGGGCATGAGTTTCCCCAAGTGTAAACTAGGGAGGTGGGACATGATGCCATCTTTAACTTATCAGCATTTTAAAAATTAGAATGGTAATAAACATGTGAGCAGGGAGAAATGAACAGGTCCAGGGCCTCCCACTGAAGGGCTCAGTGACCTTGGATGGCCACTGTTCCTCTCTGGGCCCCAGATTCCTCAGCTGTAAAATGAAGGTGCTGGGGGATGATATCCAAGATCTACGATTTAAAAAAAATTTTTTTTTTTTTAGACAGAGTCTTACTCTGTCGCCCAGGCTGGAGTGCATTGGGGCGATCTCCGCTCATTGCAACCTCTGCCTCCCAGATTCAAGCAATTCTCCTGCCTCAGCCTCTCAAGTAGCTGGGACTACAGGCCTGTGCTAACACACCCGGCTAATTTTTTGTATTTTTAGTAGAGACAGGGTTTCACCGCGTTGGCTAGGATGGTCGCAATCTCCTGACCTTGTGATCTACCCACCTTGGCCTCCCAAAGTGCTGGGATTACAGGCATGAGCCACTGTGCCCAGCCTTAATTTCATTTTTTGGTCCAGTCTTTGTAAGAACCCAGCCAGCTGGCCATGCTATGCCAGCCTTGTGCTGATGCTGGGGATAAAGGGACAAAGAGAACCCACTCCAGCCCTCTGTGTGCCCAGAGGCTTCCTTTGGGGCTGCTGGGGACATCTTGTTTCTAGTTGAGAATTTAGATTTATGTCCAAAGAGAAGGACTTCCCGAGGGGCAGATTACAACATGGACTGGGCCATCATAATCGACAAGGACACAAAGCTAACACAGCCATCGTTATACACCACACACGTGCTAAGGACTTGATTTCCTCATTGTTCAATCATCACCAACTCTATTATCACCCCCATTTCACAGATATAAAAACTGAGGCTGAGAGGAATAAGGGACTTATCCAAGGACACAGAACAAGTCAGGGCTAGAGTGATGTTTCAGGCTCAGACCTGTTTGCCTCCGGGTTTAACACACCCGAGGGCTGCTGTGAAAGGGCTCTGGACACCACAGGCTAGCCGGCCAACGCAGGGCTGACCAACAGGGGTATGGAACAGAAAGGGGCATAGAGGATGTTGCTGTGTGTGTGCAGTGAGGGGCGCGATGAGGCTTCAGCGATGGTATTCATTCACTCCAACCAGCTCCCAGCGCTGCCCTCCTCTGATCCACCCTCCCTCTGCCTGCCATGCACTGATTGTTTTGAAATCCCATGGATCAAGTCACTCCTCAGCTGAAGACCTATCCGTGGCTCCCTGGTACCCAGAGGATAGAAACCTAGCATTCAAAAGCTCTATGACCAGCTCTTCCCATCACCTTCCAACCTCAACCCCCACACTCCTGCTCACCAGACCCCGGGCACAGCGGGCTCCTCCTATGGGGCCTTCTTGCCTGGAATGCCCAAATCCCCCTTCTCAACCTTGTTTGACTCTTAAGTAGGAAAAACACTCCCTGGCTCCCTGAGCCCTTTGGCACGTATCACAGAGCACTCTGGGCGTCAGCCACCACTGTCTCTGTCTTGGATTAGAGTGGATCTGCAAGGGCCGGATGGTGTCTGACTCACCTCCCTCTCCAGTGCAGAAGCTCAGCAAGGGCTGGCCGGGTAAATTAAAAAATGCAAAGAGCCGAGAGAACCCTGGGAAAGTGCACATTTCCCAGGACTGCCCAATGACAAGCCCCGTTCCAAGGCACAGCATCAGGACACCCTGCTGTGGAAGAATCAAAAATTGCACCCTCACGGCTTATCAGGATGGTCCTTGTGTCTGTCTCTTTCAAGGGTTCTGATAATGAAATCTGGGCAAGTTGCCCTCCTGCTTTAAAACTTCCAGATTTTCCCAGAGGTCTAGCATAAAATCCTAGATTTTCCCAGAGGTCTAGCATAAAATCCACAAAACCTAGGTGCACCTGGTCCCAGGCCCTCCTCTTGCCACACCCCTTCCCTGGCCAGCCTTCCTCACTTCTTTCGGTTCCTCAAGGACTCCCTATACTAAAGCCTTGCCCTGGCCACCTCTCTGCCTGGGGGGCTCCTTCGTTCCCTGCTCACTCAGCCACCTTCTTCCCCCCTTCAGGTCTCACTTTTTAGGGGAGGTTTCCCTGATCTGTCCAGATAAGACCTCACCACTCCCACACAATCCCACACACTCCTATAACCCCATCATTTCCTTCACAGCAAGAATTAATCTTCGGTGTAAACAATGATCTACAGGAAGACCCGTGAGGAATGGGAAAGTCTTGTTTTTGCTGATTCTCTGACACCCATGTCAGAGCCTAAATACCTCTCAGATGAATGAATATATGAATGAATGAATGAACCTATATACATAAATCAAGACAAGAAGGTGGGCAGAATCCTAGGGAATACTGAAATAGAAAAAATAGGGCCCTGGGCTGGGCACAGTGGCTCACACCTATAATCCCAGCACTTTGGAAGGCCAAGGCTGGCAGATCACTTGAGGTCAGGAGTTCAAGACCAGCCTGACCAACATGGTAAAACCCCATCTCTACTAAAAACACAAAAGTTAGCTGGGTGTGGTGGCACATGCCTGTAGTCCCAGCTACTCGAGAGGCTGAGGCAGGAGAATCGCTTATACTTGGGAGGAGGAGGTTGTAGTGAGGCAAGATCGTACCACTGCACTCCGCCTGGGAACTACAGCAAGAATCCATCTAAAAAAAAAAAGAAAAAAAAAGAAAAACAGGACCCTAACTAAGAAAGTCAGAGAGGAATAAATAAACCAGACAGTTCAGCTTCCCAGAAGCAAAAGGAGGGAATTTCTAGCAACGCACTAGAGACTAGTACATGGAGTCCTAGGAAAGAGCCCTGGACTGGACATGGAGGTGGTCACTGGGGCCTCCCTGATTGAATCAAAGTTCCACGGCAGTGGGTACAGGGCTGATACCCTGCAGGGGGCAGAGGAGCAAACAGGGGTGAACAAGCAAAGCCCTCAAGCGACAGGTGCTCAGCTGCGCCTGCACCAGCCTGGCCCTGCAGGGTCTGCGGAAGACAGGGCCTGTGTGATAGTTACCAAAAGCACCAACGCAGCATAACATTATTTTGGGGATAGATCACTTTGAGGCATTGGCTTTGGGAGTTGTCTGGGCTCAGTCTCAAAGGCAGGCGCATCAGAGCCAAGAGCCAGCCCTCAGTTCCTCCCATTAGGGCAGCATTGGGGCCACCCCTTTGTCTGCAGAACCTCTGGGTAGTGGCTGATGAGGCAAGTACCTTTTGGGGCCCAGCAGTCCTTTTAGGAATCCCTGGCTTTTGGGGCACAACATCCTGGGGACTATAAAAGATATCGAAAAGGCCTTTCACCTGAGCTTTGGGAAAGAGGAACACCTCAGGCTGTGGTCGGCTCGTGTCACCGCCTGGAAGCCAGCTGGGCCACAGCAGACGTGAAAGTCTTGTATGCATTCATCCCCTTCTCCTTTTGGCAGAAAAGGGATGGCGTGGGCTGGAGGGGTGTTTCCTAGGTCCTTGCACAATTGCTAATTAGAAATTCACTTCTATTTGGGTACTGGAAGCTGGGTGATTCCCCCTAGTAGTGATCCTTCTTGTTTCACTGCACACAATGCCCTTTGCCATCTACGAACTCGTTGGGTCCACATGGCAGCTTTGTTAGGTGGGTAGGGGGAGGCCAAGGCACCTGTCTCACAGGTGGAGAAACCAAGGCTGAAGCTGGGAGGTGAGCCAGTCTCCTGGCTTCCAGCCCAGGACTCTGCACTCCACCCTCACCTCCCTGCCTACTTCAGCAGGTCACCTGTGAATCTGATAGTCAGGTGGGCCCCACCCTGCCAGCCGCCCGCGGGCATGACTCATCCGCCTTCCCCATGACTCACACATCTCAGGTGCTCCTCCTCTGGTCAACAAGTCTGGAGACCTGGCAAAGGGACTTCCCTTTTTCTCACCTCTCCAAAGCCTCTGGGGAGAATCCCTGCACCTCCTCTTCATGGGGACTCTACCCTTCTACAGAAGAGCCACCAAGGCCTTGAGAGGGAAAGCAATTCTCCTAAAGTCACACAGCAAGCAAGCAGCACAGCCAGGGTGGGAACCAGTCATCCGGCACCGCGCCCAGTCCCTGCCTCCTCCCCACAAGATCACCCTCACCCAGCCTCCCTCTCAAGGGCAGGCGAGGAGCAGAGACACACTCTGAGCCTTATTAGGAAGACCTCAGGGACTCCCACTGAATCCGCTGCCGTTACAGCAGCTGCTTTCACCACTGACGGCCCCTCCAGGCTTCCCTGGGCAGCCAGGGCTGGGTTTAAGAGGACGGTGTCTGCATTGCTCTACCTACCTAACACGGCTGTGCAAGGTGAAGAGGGCTGCTCTGTGGGATGGCACCGGGACCAAGGCCGAAGCACGGGACAAAGGGAGCTATGAGCACCACCTGTAAACAAAGGACACAAGAATGTCAGCCTCAGGGGCAGTTCAAGGTCATCTGGTCAAATCCGCATTGGATGTTCCAACCCCTTTCCTCCCCTCCACCAGGGGTCACACAATCACCACTTGCACACATCCAGCAACAGGGCACTCACTGCCTGCCGAGGCTGCAAGACTTGCTGTTGGGGAGTTTGGCTGAGTAAAAGAATTGTCCGAAGGAGGCACTCAAATCTCTCTCTTCTGATGCCTTGCACCTGCTGGCACTAGCCCTGCCTCCTCCTGAGTCAGCCAGAACAAGTCTGTCCCCCTCTTTCCTGATGGCTCTTTGGAGATTTGAAGGCAGTGATCCTGGGCCCCTCAAGTCTTCTACAAATTGTGTACCCCCTTTCCTCCAGCTCTTCTGAGACCAGGGTTTCCAGTTTGCTGACCCTGTTCCTTGATCTGCTCCAGATGAACCCTGTCCCTACGGACAGCACAAGACCCGGAATTAGACAATCAGACAAGCTCTACTCAGAGCAGGACTATCACCTCCTTCATTAGAGATATCATGCTTCTATTAATCAAGCCTAAAATCCCATTCGAATTTAAGGCAGCCCTACTGCGTGGCTGAATTCAGTTGACAGCCTCAGAGCTTTAAGACTCTGGAGTTTTATAAACTGGCCCCTCACTTAACTGTGTAATTTGAGCAAGCTACATCACTTCCCTGAGCCTCAGTTGCCTTTTCTGTTCAAGAGGGATAATATTAGAACCCTACAATGAGATAAAACACGTTCAGGGTTTTGCACAAGGCCTACGTTTACTCTGATTATTACTCTGATTATTAATAATTAAACTTCTAAGTCTTTTGCCTACAAATTGCATCTTTCTCATCCTGCACATGAGTGGTGTGGGGACCCATGACTGTTGATACGTCACTTTCGCAGCTCTACGCCTCAGCATTGCTCTTTCACTGTTCTCCTGCACTATTGCTGAGCAAGGCTGCATGATCAGTGTTTGGTGATGGGACTTTCTCTCCCTCTAGGCTATAAGCTCCTTGGAGGCAAGGATTCTGCCTGCGTGACCTCTGAAGCTTCGGCATGTCACATGCCTCGCAAACGGCAGGACTCATGGACATATGCTAGATGCGTGGGTGAAGGACCATCCCACACCAGCCTGCCAGGGAGTACACAGCTCAGTCCTCCCGCCTTTCAGGGACAACTTGGATCTTCACCCTTCCTCATCACCAAGAATTCCAGTCATCTCCATTCAGAGGGCAGCTGAGCAAACTGGCTCCTGCCAACCAGGAAAATGTCTCTGCCGAAAACAGCTTCCCCCAGCCAAGGGGAGAGTCCAAGATCCCAAAGGAAGCAGGGCCAGGCAGGCTCCTGGGATTAAGGCACAAACAAGCCCTGTTCTCAGGCCAACAATAAATGGTCCAGACAGTCCTGATGACTTGTGCATTGTGACTGACACGGAGCACAGCCACGGAACTGGAGTCACAGTGCCCAAAACCAGAGAGGTCAGAGGCCAGACACGTATCTGGGCTGCAGGACCTGGTGCTGAAGGGCACTTCTGTTGGCCTTTCTCAAAGACTATGGCAGAAACGGCAGAAACTTCCTGGTTCCAAGGGATAGGTCAAAGCAGCGTTGGGTTTTGTTGTTCCTGCCAATGACTAACGACCTCCTGCACTCTGTCAACTCTGTGTGAGGGTGAGCCTTTCGAATCCAGGCCCCCTTCTGTCTACACAGCCCAAATTGCACTCTCATCCACAAATGCACATGGCGGTGCGGCATTTGTTCCCAAATGCAACCTGCTCCTCCCAAGTGCACCTCATCTTGGCAAACAGCACCACCTACCACCCACCGTCCACCCAGTGGACCAGTCCAGGCGCCAGGCCCTCACCCGCCTCAACACGCCACCCCACCCCTTCTGATCTGTCACTCTCTCCTCCAGTGTATCACCATGTCTTGCTAGATCAACCCCTGACTGTCCCCAGAATGTCCCCCCTTCTTTACACCCCAATGCCAACATCTTGGTCCATAGCCCCATCACCTCTCGACTGCATGGGCAGAACCTACCTAACGGGTCCTCCTGCGTCCTATCCCTCCTACAATGCGTCCTCCTCACAGCGCACCCAGACCATGCCACTCCACTGCCCAGTCTCTACCATGGCTCCACGATGGCCCCAGATAAAGTCCAAGATCGTTAACAAACCTCTCCACATTCTTCATGACCTGTCCCCTTAAACTCCTTGAGCCTCGGCCCTCATGGCTTCCTGGCTCCGGCCACATGCAACGGCACTCTGTTGATGAGCCCTCCCTGTAGTGTTTGCACAGACCTCCACACCCGCCAGTCTGCCCAGTCACATTCTACTCTGTCCCTTTGCAAGTCAGCCTCCCCAGTTAGACGAAGGTTTGCTCTCGTGTATCCCAGAGCCTGGCCTAGGGCTGGGACCACCGCAGCTCAAAATTTACCAAAGTAGGAAACTATGACGCCCATGTATGCACACGTGTGTAACACATAGGCACACGTGCGCACACACATTCACAGGGCCGGCTAAGAGTGCCGATGCTGCCATCTATGGGTAAGAAAAGCATTACACGCTCCCTAAGACTCAGACACCCCAGGAGCCTCAGAGTTTTCAAACTCAGCCGTGTTTAGAATCAGCCCCAGCTAACTCCGAGTTGGTCTGTTTTCCATTTCGAACCTTAAGGCTGTGGCAGCTTAAAAACAAGGTCAGCAAACCCCTGACTCTAGTCCGTCGCCCCCGCAGTCCAGACGGAGCCATAAAGAGAAAGGTTTCGTTCCAGCACTCACAGTCCCAGCCCGGGGCTCTCACTCCGTGCCTGTCTGCTGAATCATATCTTAGAGCACAGGAACAGAAGACGCCTTCTAATAGTCTCAGCTGCGGAAAGGCCAGCCTCTGGGGAGAGAGCTCGTCCGGTGAAAATGTGCAAGGCACCACAGAACCCCATCTGTCTAGGTGGATAAAAAGGAGCTTTCTGCTCTGGGGGTGGGATTGGGGGAGGCTGGAGCAGAGTATTTTCCTCTCCTAAAGGACTGCTCCCAGTTTGTTGGGAGGGCCTTCAGACTTGATGGGAGTAATGTGATATCTGTCCATTAATGCCATAAGGGTTCAAATGGCCAACCCTAATAACAATAGTCATTATTTTCTCTGCACCTTCCAAGTGTTAAACTCTACAGGCATCATATCTCAGCCTCACAATAACTCTACCAGGCAGATATCTTTGTCCTCATTTTGCGAAACAGGGACACAAGCTCAGAGAGGTGAAGCAATGTGCTCAGGGTCACACAGCTAAGATGTCTGGGCAGTTTCCACCAATGCAGGCTGCCTGCCCTATGTCTTAACCTCAATATTTTTCAAAGTTATAAGGCTAGGCCTCTTGCTCACCAGAAAAAGAAAAATAAAACAACAAAAAACCACAAAGCTTTGGGTAGTCTAGACCACAGGTCAGCAAACTTCTTCTGTCAAAGACCACACCATAAATATTTTAGGTGTTATATGCCACACACACTCTCTGTTGCATATTCTTCCTTGTTTGTTTGGTGATGGTGTTTTTTAACAATCTTTAAAACTATAAAACCATCCCTAGCTCAGAGGCATATAAAAACAGACTAGGGCCTCCCCAGGGCTGTAGTCTGAATCCATAGATACAGAGAGAATAATGTTTATCATCTCAAGTATAAAAACTTCTGGTGAAAAAGTTTATCAAATGCTAGCTGTGTTTCTTCCTCTTCCAATGGCTTTCTACTGAGTCATTCTCTCCTAAAGAAGGACCCTACTTTGCTTCACAATTAAGCAGCAAATTATTTCAAGGACTGTTCAGAGTCTAGAAACTCATAGCTGTGGACAAAATAGACAGATAAGTCATATATCAAAGATAAGACATTAAAAGATCTGTGCTCTTGGCCAGGTGTGGTGGCTCACGCCTATAATCCCAGCACTTTGGGAGGCCGAGGCGGGTGGATCACGAGGTCAAGAGATCAAGACCATCCTGGCCCACATGGTGAAACCCCGTCTCTACTAAAAATACAAAAATTAGCTGGGCATGGTGGCGCGTGCCTGTAGTCCCAGCTGCTTGGGAGGCTGAGGCAGGAGAATTGCTTGAACCCAGGAGGCAGAGGTTGCAGTGAGTCGAGACTGCGCCATTGCACTCCAGCCTGGGTAACAAGAGCGAAACTCTATCTCAAAAAAAAAAAAGATCTGTGATCTCTAGGCTGGACCCTGTTACTGTCACTGGCTCTTTAGCCCTGAACAAGGGACTCGCCTCTTAATTAATTCCCTTATCTCGTAAGTATTAATTCTACATTAGTAACAGATTGATTTCAAATCTTACAGCTGAAAGTATGATCCCTGGACCGGCTACATCACCATCACTAGAAGTGCAGAGCCTCAGGCCCTACCCCAGACTTGCTGAACCAGAATCTGCATTTTAACAAAAGCCCCAGGTGATCTTAGAATGCTCTAGAACATCTTTTTTGTCCAGCTGAAACACAGTTCACAAAATCTTTGTTAGCAATGAGGAGAGAAGGGTCTAAAGACATCTTTCACGATGTCATGATATTAAGTCTCTGACCTAACCCATGTACCAGTGACCCCATAAAGCGTTCTACTCTAGGACCAATTGACAGACCAAGCTCTACCACTGGATCTTAAAATAAAACCTTAACGAGGTGGAAAGTAGACCTGAGAAACAGGAGAAGGTGCTATTCTCCATATCATGGAATAGGGGGAGGGAAAATAGGTTAGAGAGGGAAATAACTTATCCAAGACCACACAGCCAAGACAAACCAGGGGTATGACCACCACCAGGTTTCTTCATCCTCCTTAGGCCTTAGGTTTAATGATAACTGAAATCATTTTGGTTTGGTAGAGTAGCAATCAGAGGGCTTGCTGTTTGCTTTGGGAAATTCACTTGCTCTCTCAGGGCACAATTATCTGTAGCCATGAAGTGAGGGGTAGAGCCAGTGATTCCTAAAGCCTTGCTATCAAAGTCATGGCCTGGG